CTTCAGGCAGAGGGGGAGGCGCTGCCGGCAGAAGGGGCGAGACTTCAGCTTGCCTTCCCCGGCGGGGCCTTCACCCGCCGCCCATGCCTCTTCCACACATTGGCTGATGGAAAGGGGCCATTGGTGAGCTCCGTTAGAGAGACCAGCCTCAGAGCCCAGAGCTGGATTTGGCACTCACGGCAGGTTCACAGAGCTACCCGTGTGGTTTACTACTACCCCCCAACGCTGCCCGCCATGCAAAGTCCAGAGAATCCAGGCTGGATGGTCAGTTTCAGAGATCTGGAGACATCGGGCTGGCCCTGAAGGTTTCGGGGTGTCCGGTCGCCCGACCTGCAGCCCCTGCCTCCGGGCCGGTGAGACCAGGGTAAACAGAGCAAAGCGACTCTTCACGCTGACAAAGCAAACGCTGCAAATGCAAAATCAGCCCCTTATTGCTGGCCCGGTCGCTTGTTGCTGGTTATTTTTCCCACCGAGGTCTGTGTGTGGAGATGGATCTGTTCCCCACCGCTCTTACCCAGCATGTCCTCAGACACAGGGGTCCGGAGGATGTCCCCAGTAAACTCGCAGGAGGTCTTCTTGGCATCAATCCCAGATGTGCCTTCAAACACCTGCAGGGGACAGGAACCCAGTTAGTGGCGATTAGTGGGGGATTAACGGCAAATGGCTGGAGAGGGCCAGGTGGGTTCAAATGAACCGAGGGGAGGGGGATCTCGAAGATAATGGTTTGTGATCTGCATTGAGAGAGAGAGAAAGAGAGAGGGGAGGGAGGGAGGGAGGGAGGAAGGAAATTTTGGAGTGAAGAAAACTCTGGTCTTTTAGGACCTGATGGGAAATACATTAAAGGGAGTTTTTCCACTGATTTCAGTGGACTTTGGACCAACACTGTTGTTCTGTGATATGACTGGACACTGTGGGCATGTCTAGACTACATGCCTCTGCCGACAGAGGTGTGTAAATTAGACTACCCGACATAGTCAATGAAACGGGGATTTAAATATCCGACGATCAGCTGAGCCGGCACAATGTGGCAGCCATTGTTATTCTAATGAAGCGGGGGATTTGTAAATCCCCGTTTCATTGACTATGCCCGGTAGTCTAATTTACACGCCTCTGTCGGCAGAGGCATGTAGTCTAGCCATACCCTGTCTGGGTGTGTCTCAGGGTGCCGGCTCTCTAGCGTGGCACAGAGCTTGCACACTTGCCGGTCTCTAGCCTCACTGCAGCAGTGTGTGGGTCTGGGGCAGTGGGACTCACCTAGCTGGGAAGCACTGGATGGCACCCACCTGCGTGGCTACCCCTCTGTTTAAACCTGCAACCTCTCTCCTCTCGCTCAGTGAAAAACCTCCTGGCTGCGCGCTCTAGCAGAAAAGGGAGAGGCACGCTGGTCGGTATAATATTGGCCACCATTTGTATTAATTAACCTCCCGACCGCTGCTTTAACTTGAGCTGTGTGGCCCCTTGGGAAAGAATGTGCCACATTCCAGCGGGTTCATTCAGACCTCTCTGCAGCTGCGGCCGGCGCGGCGGGCAGGGGGCAAACAGGCCCTTCGTAAGCCGCGGCGGCAGCAGGCTCGGGTTTGGGGAGGCTGACTCCCTAATAGGATTAGCAGGGCGCTGCAGAGGTCTCGGCCGCATTGCAGGAGTGAAGTTTGGCAGCTCGCCGGCAGAGGTGCCAGGCAGGTCAACTGCTCAGCTCCCTTGTTTCCATAGGCTGAGCTCCAGGCATTAATGACTGCCGGGGGCCAAGCCGGGTGACAGGGGGCGAAGGGAAAGGACAGGGAGTTAGATTACAAAAGGTCAGGGTGCTTTCAGAGAAAGCTGGGACTCCCCTGCCATCCCCATGTAGTCCCAGACTGGGCTGGGGGCCCCGATCAACCCCCAACTCAAAGACCCACTTTATTATTAATTATTAATTATTAATTATTAATTATCCTATGAGAGAAGACTGAAAGAATTGGGCTTGATTAGTTTGGAAAGGAGAAGACCGAGAGGGGACATGAGAGCAGCTATTAAGTACCTAAAAGGGTGTCACGAGGAGGACGAAGAAAATTGTTCCCCTTGGCCTCTGAGGACAGGACAAGAAGCAAGGGGCTTAAACTGCAGCAAGGGAGGTTTAGGTTGGACATTGGGAAAAACTTCCTGCCTGCCAAGGTGGTTAAACACCAGAATAAATCGCCCAAGGAGGTTGTGGAATCTCCATCACTGGAGCTAGTTAAGAGAGGGTGGGACAGACACCTGTTAGGGAAGATCTAGACCAGTATATGCTAGAGGTCTATAAAATCATGAGTGGTGTGGAGAGGGCTGATAAAGAAAAGTTATTTATTAGTTCCCTAAATAGAAGAACTAGAGGACACCAAATGAAATTAATGGGTAGCAGGTTTAAAATGAATAAAAGAAAGTTCTTCTTCACACAGCGTGTAGTCAACCTGTGGAACTCCTTGCCAGAGGAGGCTGTGAAGGCTGGGACTATAACAGAGTTTAAAGAGAAGCTAGATAATTTCATGGAGGCTAGGTCCATAAAAGGCTATTAGCCAGGCGATAAAATGGTGTCTTTGACCTCTGTTTGTCAGAGGCTGGAGAGGGATGGCAGGAGACAAATCGCTTGATCATTGTCTTCAGTCCACCCCCTCTGGGGCACCTGGTGCTGGCCACTGTCGGCAGACAGGATACTGGGCTAGATGGACCTTTGGTCTGACCCAGTCCGGCCGTTCTTATGATTAGTGGTTCTTAACCTGGGGTGCACGCCCCCCCCCGGGGGTGCGAGACGCCCTTTCTGGGGGTGTGAGACATGCCAGATTTTTATGATATAGCTTAGGTTTAAAGAACTGACCTACTTCAACGATTTTTAATAAGGGGTGCGAGACCATATTTTGAGAACAAAGCAGGTGCAGGCTGCAGTACGGTTAGGAACTGCTGGTCTAGACCGTGCTGTGTCCTGCCGTGGGGGCAGGGGACTGGACCCGATGCCCTCTCGAGGTCCCTTCCAGTTCTAGGGTTCCAGGATTCTATAATTCTCTCCACGCCCACGGACAACGGGGTCAAAGCGCCTGCTTGGGCTCTCTCCTCGCTTTTGGCTCTTGTGCGGGAAGGATCTGGGTTTGAGGAACTCAAGTCACGCTAGGAATGCGCATTCCCGGGTGCCAGCGAACTCGGCGTGTGCCGGGCCCAGCGTGGCAAGCAGGGTCCCTCCTGTCTTCCCCACCCCTGTGCGGAACAAATTCTGAATGTGCGGCAGATCACCTTCCCACGGCGCGCGTAACAAAATGCACGTGGGGGGGTAGGCCCCAGGATTTTGAGTGTGGGAGGGGGCCCAGGGCTGGGGCGCAGGAGCGTGAGGCCAGGGCACTTGTGTTCTCACCTGCACGATAGCCTTAGTCCCCACCACTTCCAGGATCTGCCCGCTCCGCGTGGTGCCGTTGGGAAGGGTGAAATTGACGATCTCGGCGTACTGGGCGAACTGTGCAGAGAGAAGCAAGGTCGGGGTTAGTGTCCGTGAAGCAACCCTCCCCCCGCACACACCCCCAGCCCCCCACAAGCTCCCCGCCTCGGTACAACCGACCAGCTCCACCCCGAGCTCATGGGAATGGCTGGGGAGAGCCTGGGCTGGCTTGTAACCCGCTGGGTTGGTGCCTAAACCCCCCAGCCAGCGGAACAGTGAGGAACACATCCGGGTATTCCTATGGCAGCAGGAGCGCGGCCCGACTGCTCACTGCCCCATAGCCTGGCCCTAGCTCTGCCCCACCCCCCGCACCTACAAGGGATGTAAAATCCCATTTCATCAGTTAACGGGTTAGACGTGACATTTCACCGGGCCCTGACCCCTTGTGCAACCTGCCCCCCTCTGGTACCCCCAGACCCCGTCCTCTCTCAGCCGGCTGAGTCCTCTTCTCCGGGCTGCCTGGGGGCGGCTTTGGGAGCCCAGGAGACAGCGGGCACTTTGGCGGGTCGATCCCTTCTTGGCCGACGAGTGCTGCGATTGGCACCAGGCACAGAACTCTGGTCCCAGAGAGCCAGCCCATCAGGCCCCCGTCACCAAACCAGCGCCTGGTGTGTGGGGACGCAAGGCCAGGCCGTCCGTGTCCAGGCAGAATCGGCCCTGACCGGGCAAGACGAGGACACCCGTGTCCACTAGAGGTCACTTTGCCAAACCAAGCAGCCGCGTTTCCCCCTGGCTCCGAACACGCTGCTGGGGGCTGGCTGCAGCCCACAGACCAGTCAGTTTGCACAAAGGTCTAGGCCCACGGGTGCCAAAGGGGAGATGTCACGCCAGGTTTCCACGCAGATTTTCACGGCAGAATTTTCACTGGGGGATCTGGCCGTGGGGAGGTGCAGGGGTTTCAAGTACTGGGTATCCCGGCCGTATGGAAAGGCAAGGGGGGTGCGGCGCGCTCTGGGCAAGCTGAGGGCTGACTGTCCTAGCCCCGCCCCTTCTGCCTGAAGCCCCACCCTCCTGCCTGAAGCCACACCCCTTCTAGGGGCACAGAGCCATGTCCACCCTCCAGCAAATTCAAGGGTCCAGGTGTGACGTAGTGGGGGTACTTGCTGGGCTGTGGTGACCCCTGCTGTCTGGAGCAAGACCCAGCAGGGAAAACCTCGCTAGGCAGAGGTAAGGCCAAACTGGTTGAACCAGTGGCCAGACACCCCCCATGGAGAGGAACAAAGGAAGGTGGAATGCGGCCCTGACTGGGGGGGCAGGGCTGGAAGGGAATTTAGTTAGTTACGGTCTGGGAGTATGGAGGAGAGCCTAGGGGAAGGGGCTGGAGTTTAGGGGCCCAGTCTCCCCCATCTCAAGGGGGCCTGAGGCATCCTAGCCCAGCTCTGGGACCAGACTACATCTGTGCTGTGCTGTATCCTGGAGAGACAATAAACTTCCTCTATTCCACCGGCTGGTGAAGTCTGTTTGTGCCATTTCAGGGTGCAGGAGACGGGGAACCCCCAACGCGCCGTCACACCAGGGCTCCAGCTGGACCACGGGAATCCCCGGCCTCTCCTTGCCCCGCCGGGCAGCCCCAGCTGCACAGGACTCAGACTACATCTGTGCTGTGCTGTATCCTGGAGAGACAATAAACTTCCTCTATTCCACCGGCTGGTGAAGTCTGTTTGTGCCATTTCAGGGTGCAGGAGACGGGGAACCCCCAACGCGCCGTCACACCAGGGCTCCAGCTGGACCACGGGAATCCCCGGCCTCTCCTTGCCCCGCCGGGCAGCCCCAGCTGCACAGGACT